TAAAGTGTGTAAGCTCTAAGGATCAGATTTCTTATACATGGAATATTAGGACACTTGGAAGCAGGGGATCCCGAGAACACGACAAATATGGAATCAGTCTTCTTGAACGAAGCTGTTGTCTTGGGGTTGACCAATGACTCCAACTACATCCAGGTAATGGAGAGATTTCCATTTGATACCTTGAGGCAGAGCATAAAGATATCAGGACAACAGTATGTCCTAATTGAGGTAAAAAACCAATACCACCTTAGGGGAATAAAAAAAAAAAAAAAAAAAAAAATAGTATGTTCTTGGTGCTAAGACTATCATTGTGAAGGAGGAATGGGAACCCAGCAAGGGCTTCCAGCTCAGACACTAATGGATACTCTGGCAACAAAAGAGGCCACTCACAGAAGACATCTAAGGGAACATCCCTGATTGATTCAAAAGTGCGTTTTCCAGAGGTCAGAGAGAACCAAGCTCACAGGGTACTACAAGGGTGGCCTGATGCGAGATACACCTTAATATTTTTACAAAAGACTGATCTTTGAAAAAAAGACTAGACAAGTTCAAAACCTGTTCTTTCAGAGTGCTTAAGGTCAAATTCTGGTCAGAACCTGATTGTAGGAAGAACAGAATGCAAGGCACAGAATAATTTCTGGGATTCAATTCTGAGTAGGTCTTTGTACAAGGTTCTTCTGGGCCAGTTTGGTGCAACGAGAACTACAGTCTCTCTCGCTCTTTTTGAACAGACAAGGCAGAATTTGTATGGGGAGTAAGGCATATATTGGCCTAAGCCAAGAACAGGGAATTCGCAAGGCATCCAAAGCAAGAGCTAGAGAATCCTTGGTCCTGGCCACAGAGGTAGTTTGTTGTTTAATCTGGAGGCTGGGATGTCTACATCTAGAATCCCCCATTTCTGAAATATCAAAGAGATCTGGGTGAAGAGTCCATTCCCCTTGATCCAGACTGTGGTAGCTGAGGTAGTCTGCTTTCCAGTTGTCCTCCCCTGGGATGTGTGCTGCAGAGAACGCTGAACAGTGAGTTTCTGCTCATGAGACTATCTGGATTGCTTATTTCAAGACTTCTGGTGCCTCCTTGATTTGGGGGGGGATGTAGACAACAGCTGTGGCATAGTCTGCATGTGCCCTTGTTGGGTGTCCTTGCAAAAGGGGAGTCCAGTGTTGCAGAGCTATTTATAATGCTCTGAGCTGCCAGATGTTGATGGGGGAGCTTGGCTTCCACAGGTGACCATGAGAATGTAAAACACTCCTCCCCAGCCTGAAAGAATGGCCTGTGAAAATGGACTTTCCTACTGTTAAGGCTGGGCTGGAGATCCATTAAGTTATGAAACTCCATGCTTGGCTTGACAAGAGCATGGGCAGTTCCAGAGAAGAATCGGGTTTGTTCCAGGTCAACAAAACGTTCTTACAGTTCTCAAATAAGATTTAAAAAAAAATTGTACAGCCTCAAAAAAAGGAAGCTATTATAGAAGAGGCCCAGAACTCTAATAGAGAATCTCATTGTGGGAGGTCTCTCAGAGCCCAAACTCAAAGATTTGAGAAGAAAGAATCTCTTCTGGAAGGAAAAGTTTTTGCATTAGATGTGTCCGGGACCAGGCCCATGTATTCCAGGTGAAGAGAAGGATGGAGAGCAAAATTTTCTTGTACATTGAACACCCAGCCAAAAACAGATCTTGAGAAGGTTATCTTCATGATCTGTGACCTGGATACCTAGAGTTCTGAGAAAGACCAGAGGTGCTAGCTTCTTTGTCTCACTGCCTCTGACCTATTTTTTTTCTCCCAGAGTATCCACAAAATTGAAAATGGCTGTTTATCCACTTAATCACTGCTTTCTGAAGTTTGCAGTGGCAAATTAAAATATGCAGATAGGCATCTTGGATGTTTATGAATGTCAACCATTCTCCACATCTCAGAAAGGTATTACGGACCTTGCAGATTCCATGCAAAATGTCAGAATTTGAAGGCCTTTGTTGAGGGATTTTCAAGTCCATAAAAAAGGATGAATATCTCTGCTGGGCTTTGGTACAGTGAACATGTTTGTTTATTAGAATCCTTTGAACTGGTTTTGTGGAGCGCTTGGCACAACTAAGTCTTGGGACAAGAGATGGTTTGGGACATTCTGCAAATCTGACTGTCCTTGGGTAGTTTTTGGTTGATTTGAGAAAAGGAAGCGGTGTTTTAAACTCCATTTTGTACCCCTTTAAAAAACATAGGTCTGATGTCTGCACTCTAGAGAGGCAAATAGTAACAGATGTTCCACTACTTCGGTGTTAGGTGCCCCTTCAATGGGAAAAGGGCTATGGGGAAGACTTGGGGCTTTGTGTTCCAAGTCTTATGCTAAAAGGAAGGGCTGAACGTAGGTTTTGAAGCCGAATCCTAGGTAGTGTGGTTGTGAATAAAAGCCTTCAGAAGCTTCCCAGACATTTTACCTGCAAAATCCCTGAATGAAGGAACTTCAGTTGGTACAGAGAGATGTTAAGTTGACCCTGCAAGCTTAGTCTTGAAGGCAAAGTTCACCTTCTGGAGCATGTTACAGCCATATGTAGAGTTGTCTAAAAGCTGTAGGGCTTGTCTGCAGGAAGAACAAAAATCTTTTCTGGAGTGATCAAAGTCAATAAACTGCCCATTTTATTTCTTCATGGGTAATGTCACAGTTTTTGAAGGTCTCTTTGTGCCCAAAGGGGCCTGGTGAGACAGAGAATAAAGAACAACGCCAAGGATTACACACATGGCAGCAACGAGCTTATCCACATTAACAAGCATGTTGCGTAAAGCTCCTACTTCAAGGGTAAGAAGTGTGATTGCGAAACAAACTCACAGCATCTTCTAACACGGTTTCTATATCTTCATATGCCTTGACTAGAGCAGGCATATCGGTATCGGACTCAGGCAGAGTTAGAGGAGCTGGAGGAGGGGTTTGGTGTTTTTTAGCCCTGGACAAAGATGGCTGCATTAAAAGAGTTAGACGTTTGAGCAATTTTGACATAGGTATGCAACAAGCCCTGACAAAAGCCAAATCCTCAGCATCTGAGACAGCTAAAATCATATGTAGAGACTGGTGTTGAAATAAGGTCCTGCCAGGGAAGCATCATCACTCTGAGGCTGAGTGTTGTGTTGGCTTTCAGTAGAGTAATGTTCACCTGGGGGTTCAGCTGTAGCTCCTTTTCACCTGGTTTCAGTCATATCTACAGGTGAGGGGTATTCCCCTGTAGGGCACTCATGGAACAGGGTATGGAAGATAGGGTAAGCTTGTCTGGAGGGAGGAGCATACAGCAACCTGGGTGCCCAGACAGTCCTGTAGTGAATCCTGGTGGTGAAAGGGACGGGAGAAAGCTCCAAGTTTGGAAAATATTAATTTTACAATTTAAACTTTCAAAAAATAGCCCCAGTTCTTATAGCAATGGTCAGAGATGCAGAGTAACCCTATATTGTACAGTGTTGTGGACAGATAAGATAAAGTCCAGGCTTCACTCATCACAATGGGCATACCCTCAAAAGGGATTTTCAGGGTCTATGCTCTATAGAGATGGACCATGATCCTGGATATGTAAAGCACCCTGAGGTGGACTACAACACATTGCAAGTGCCAAGGTACACATCCGTACAGGATCCAGTGTCAAAAGATTAAAAGTCATCCCCAGAGTGTGGGGTTCAGGTATAGGTCCCAAAGGTTTACCACAGTTGCAACAATCTGGATGCAGAGCTTCTATTTTAATATTAGAACACACTGAATTAGGTTATTGAAGAGCTGAAATATCCAAAAAGATAAAATAAAACCGTTAAGAGTGACTTCAAAGCAAAGCAGAAATGGTCCATCACCTAAGGACACTAGTAAAAAACAAAGGACTCTCCGAGTCATGTTCTCTATCCTAATCAGTACAGTACCTTCAGGTGATTGGACTTGGTGATGTTTTAAAAAAGGAGCTACACAGTTTGATTACTTATGCAAACAAGATGTTAATTGTGTAGTAATAAAAAAAAAAAAAAATTACACAATTTGCTAAAAATGGAGTCTACCTAGGTGCAATTAGTGTCACATGACCTCAAAATAAATGCATTTGTTTCTGTAAGGCCCCAGAGTTTCTAAAGCAGACCACAGAGTGATCAAACAGGTCTGGGGATAGACTGTGGACACATTTTTTATTCATCCTTAATTGGTGCTTTTCCAAAGTTTGAACATCCCCAAAGTACCATTAAAATATAAATATTGTATGCATTTGTGAATCAGTTGCAGTTTAATACCCAGAGATCATGCCAGCAACAGCAGTTTCAGAGTGCTAAACCACCATTTCAAAACTTAGCTGGTTGTTTATTAGCTCTTTGGATAGGCAGACACACAGTTAATGGCTAAACCAAAGCTGCCCTAAATGGATTGCTATTTTGATCAGCCAGCCCGCTGATCAAAAGAAGCTGAATGGATTCCCCCATCCACACAAGCGAGATGGATAGAGTAATTTTTCCAGTGAGCCATTATCTGTGAGAAGGGGACTCCGGTTAGAATACACGGATCAGCACTGCAGCCAACTGGCTGCATGCGCTGACTGATTATTAGATCGGCTTCACTTGAGAGGGAACAGCCATAGGATTGAAATTAAGCCAGTCCTTACTGAACCAGTTGCTAGCTGACTTGCTGCTGTATGGACTCAGAGAAGAGAAAATTGGCAGCTTGCCAATATAATTACGCTTTGCACCACAAGGAAACAAAAAAAAAATTCAACTGCAAAAGCATTCACTATGTTGAGTCACGAAACATATATTTTTCAACTTAAAAGCATTCAGTATGTTGTGTAAACCAAAAGTCCCAAACACGAATTCCAAAAAGTGTGGAAATGTCCAGGTAGAGAATCCAGATAATTAAAAGCACTGCATCTAATCTTTGTGATTTGAAGCAGTGCCATTTTAAAATCTGTGGCTGCAACTTTCTCCATTAAATTCAAAATTGCAATTACTCACATTTTTGGGCACACATGATTTTATTCTTCATAAAGACTGAAATACTTACGAAATGCCACTAACACCCATTGTTAATAAGCTTAGCTGCATTTTGATTGAGCAATTCATGGGAATTCCTGTAAGCTGCAATAAACATAAAAGAGGGTGAGCATTAAAAATGTGTAAAATTCTATATAGTAAAGCAGCATATAAATCTAGTACCAGCAAAGTGCAAACTCAAAAATATAATATATTGCAGTGTATTAGTCCTTAGATGTAGTGACTGCATTAATTTCCCTTTTCAGGCTTTTATCAATTTATGTATGAAGAAGAGGAGGTGGTGTCATCCTAAGCTGTTCTCCCGATTTGGATTACAAAATGCTCCTTTCCCATTACATAGAGGCATTGCTTTGGAGTTCACAAAAAAAATGTAGCCGAGAAAGCCACCCCCCCAAACAAGACAAATAAGCAATCTACAGAAAATATTAGACTTTAAAAAGAATAGGAATGCAGCCACCACATCCAAGGCCTGGAAAATGTATATACATTTGTTTTTAGGTTTAGATTAAAGTTTTTCTTCTTTTAAAACTACCAGATCAGGTATTAAAAAAAATAAAAAAATAAAAATACCCTGCAAGGTAGTGTCATAACAAGCTAGTATGCATCACATACCAGCACATTATGAAGGACTTCCCTAAAAAGTGAAGCCCTCCAGCGTCACACTGTCATCGCTGCAGAGGTTTCCATCTTCCCTCGGTCTTCCTTCCGGGTTCACGAGCTCCAGCCATCTGACTGGCGGAGCAGTGTTGGTGTCACTCCTGCACATGAGTCCTGGGCCATCCCGCAGTGCTCTGAAAGAATGGAACAGGTATGCCGTTCCTTCAGGGCACATGTGCCGACTCTCAAAAACAAACAGTGAATATCTCCTAAACAGTGCACATTTATGAGATATTCCTTTTACCTACAGGTAAGCTTTACTAGAAGCTTACCTGTGGTAAAATAAAAAAAAAAAAAAAAAAAGAAGTTTACTACCACTTTAAAAAAGTAGTAAATGGGATAGTGACCTCAAAATCCCATAACCCAAAGTTCTGGAATTAGAGACAGATTCTCTTATAGCATGCTCTTGGCAATTCTACAATTTAAAAGTTTATAAAAGTGTAATGACTTATGAACCCATGAATAACTGATCTTGCATGTAGCCAGTCTCAGATGTGGAGGCTACATTCATTGCCTTTTTAAAACTATCATTTTACTCTGGTAAAACCTATCATAAGCACACTTTCTATCCTAGGGGGCAACACAACACCTCACCTCTTCTCAAAAAAGGGGGTGGGGGGGGGGCATTTTTGTAGTTTATAACATTAGCAGGGAATAGGGCCAACTGAAACGTCCAGAGGCAGAGAGTATGCAAGTTTTCAGTTCCCAGATTTCTGTCTGGGTACAGAGCATTTTTTTTACACTTGCCAAACACAGAATATAAAAATCTTTAAATGGTAAATTTGTTTAACAAAGTGTTAATCCAATAAATGTTCAACCAGGTCATATATGGCAACACTCTATGGCATGCCTCTTGGTGTAATAAAGTCTGTTCTTGCAAATCAAAGCAATTTCTCACATTTCACTGCCACAAAATATCCCTATTACGGATTAAAGGATTACATTTACCCAAGGCAGTTTGATACAAGAACTAAAATTGCCATGAAAAATGGAACCCCACCCAGAACCATGTAAACAGTTATGATTTTACAAGCAGTTTAATTTGGATAGTTTAAGCGGTTCTACAGGCAGAAGGGTTTTTACATTAATGCATTCTATACATTAAAAAAAAAAAAAAAAAAAAAAACACACGCATCACCAGGCATCCCACCAGCCCTATCTTATACTCACCTGAGCATGATCTCGATCCAGCTATGTGCACAAGAGCAGAGACTCTCCTTCTTCATTGGTTCAGGCAAACATTAGCCCCTGTACGGGGGGGGGGGGGGGGTAGGGTGGCAGAGCACACAAAACTGGCTCAGGAGCGAGCAGCATACTATGGGAGGCACTTGGGATGGGGAGGAGCTTCTGAGGGGGACCCGAGAAGTGGGAGATCAGGGCTGCTCTGTGCGACACCAGACTCCATAGTGTTTGATAAAGATGCTTGGAAAGCCTCGTATCCAGAAGAAAACTTTCCAAGTTTGTAATAATGTCAGTTACACATACACATGCATTTCTAAGGACCCATAAAATGAGGTAGCAACAAGCATATTTACTGCAAAGCGCGAGATATGCATTGCGGTACCATTCACTTAGAATGGCATCCCAATACATGGATAGTAGCTGCCAATTTACTGCACGTAGTGGGCCTTTTGGTGCTCTGCATTTCCAAAAATACTGTAGGTATGTTTTAAGGGGTGTTAAGTGCCCTGTAAAGTAAGCTGCATCAAGGCAGCCCATTTATTTTTAAACTAAAACCATATTGCACAGGGGCCCTAAATATGTGCTTGGTTCTAAAGCATTTGATGGAAGCAACCATGCCATGAGAAGTGAAAAATAAGTAGACTGCTACTTTGACCACCTGACAATGCTAGGTTGTCATTCTGCTCCTCTGGCTTTAATACTTGAGTAACTGAACTGTCACAAAATATGCAACAAGTCAAAGTCATAATTAATTTTTATACTTTGTCTAGGTTCGTGTTTAACCTTTCAGTCAATGCATCCTTTAGAATTATGCACAAATCTCCAGGCAACCAATTCTAAAATGTAAAAAACGTAACTACTAGTTTACATATTATAATATCCACACATGTCACACACCAAACAGGATTTATTCTTACTTCTAAATCAAATCCACCTTTGCACACTGGTACCAACGAGCATTGCAAAGTTTCTCTCCCTCATTCAACTAATGTGACCCCAGTGCTGAAGAATAGGGACCGGGAGGGGCAAACAAGGGTGCTGTGCAGGCACCTGAAGTCCTCCTTATCAACTGATGTCACTGGGGAGGACCAGCAATGTAGGGCCATGACGCCAATCAATCGTGATAGACCGCTTGCTGATCCAAACTTTAAAGCATATCTGTGGTCAAAATGTAAAATCAAATATTCACTTCCACATTGTTTCTTTTTTTTTTTCCTGCCTACTCGACTCCTATTTATCTGAATGAGCTTGAAGTTTGTAAACATTTGCGAAGCTCCCCAAAAATGTACTTCCTTGTATTCTATTTAGAAGACATAGTGAATACATGTAACAGACACTGCTGCGGCACACTTTTCACAGAGACTGCCTTCTGATCTACACAGGTGCTAAGAGGAGGAACTTCAGAAGGCAAAGTCAGTATAGGAATCACATTTTGCAGGCAGCAAGTCCAGGAAGTTGTGGAAAGAGATGGCCAGCAGAACTCACAGGAGATTTTTTACGTAAACTTAGAATGAATTGTCAAAAACAATAGTTGGAATGCAAACAATAGTTACACAACAATTGATTGCATTGTTATTCCAATGCCGATGTTACAAAATAAAGTGAAACTGTATGTTGTGACCATCATAAGACCATCTCCTTTAGGTATGACAAGATGTACAAATATGGTACTAAATACATTACAGACATCCAAACTATTTACATACACACCCCACCTAAGCGGAGACAAAAGACAGAATAGACTTGTTCAGGGTCTCACAGAATAGGTCACCAATTTAGAGATGCGTGCACAATCAGAGACCCAAATAATAAAAATGTGCATTCTTTATAAGACCCAAAAACAGGAATTGGTTTTAAAATCACTGATCATTTATACAAATTCCTAGAACTTGCCTGTAGAGGGAGACAAAAACCCATATTAGAGACAAATGAGATGGAACTAAACTCTGCCCACAAATTTCATTTGGAGCAGGTTTCCTTATACTTGCACCATGGACAAGATCATGGAACTGATGTACTGTTTGGAAAAATATCAGATTGTAAAAAGGACTGGCAGTTGAAAGAGTTCATTATATAGCAGCAATAACAACATTGTGTGATAGGATATCGCCTTCTGATTAAAATCAGCACATTTCATTTACAACCAAGGATAGATATTCTGACTGCAGGAGTGTCAGACAGATAAACCTAGCAAAGAATAACATTAACATACCTGGAGGCGGAGGAGGGTAACCATAAATGACCAAGCACTGTACCAGTTAAGAAATCTATTTACTGTATATACAGTATGCAACCCTGTACTCTGAACTCTGTCAGCCCCACATACAAATCTTACCACCTTAACCTCCATAATACTTCCAAAATAAGCCCTTTCTCAACAAAAAAAAGTTTCCAATTCACTCCTTTATTATTTTTCGACTCAACTGCTGCAACTCTGTTTGTCCAACCTGTACACAGGCTATCCCACCTTCAGGCCATCATGATGCTGCTGCCAGATTCATCTACCTTTCCAACCAACCATTCAGTGTGCAGCTGCATCAAGCCAAATAGCTTTAGTTATGCAGAGTAGGGAAGGATTACAGTCCTCGTGTTTGGTTTTTAATGCTAATCGAGATTTACCCTCACTACCTGTCCTGCTGATGGTTTTGAGAGCAGAATTCCCAAAACACTTTATTAAAGAGGAAGGTTAGACTAGATTCACATATGTGAGGGTGCAAGATTACATGGTGCAGGAACACCTGTGATTTTACATGCAAATGCACTAAAAACATGCCGCTTTAAAAATGTGTAGGGGTGCCATTAACTGTTAACGGCACTCCCCCCTGCACTGAAAGAGGAGGTGCAGTTTCCCATACACAAACACACCATGCATGCTTTTTCCTACAGGAAACAGGTACAGCAGCCCATCAAAATGAATGGCTTGCTGTGGCACGAAAATCATGTCACAGCTGGCACACCGAGTATGCAAAAACTGAACAAAATTTTTGAATTGTTAGTTTTTCGCATTGTCTATGGCCAGTTTTAGAACCCATCAGATTTTCTGTATTGTTGCATATTTTCACTTCGTTAGGGTCTGGTGAAACCTGACCGAAGGTCAGGATGGGGGGGGGGGGGGGGGGGGGGGGGGTGTTGCTAATCCTATCCTACTCTTAACAACATTCAAAGCAATTACAACCCCAATTCCAAAACAGTTGGGACTCTTGCAAATCATCGCATTTTGTTTTTATGTAGATTTTACACAAATC